ATCTGATAGTAAAAGCGTACACATAATCATGTTATAACATAAATCTAAGATCATGAGTTAATAATTGTGTTGATCTAATTGACTGAACTTAGCATTAACGCCAAAAAGACAGAAACATCACATAAGCCAACTTTCCACATGAAAGGAAGTTTATAATGTTAAGTCAATACCAAATAAAAATTATAGCTTCATCTATAAAGAAAATTGAAAATTTACCACATATATCTTCTTTCAATAAAAAATAAACACAAAATTGAAGTCTTTATACCTTTCTTCAAGTCGGTAGTTATAACACTTCCACAAACATCATCGAGAATTTTTTGCTCTTCTTCCAACTTACAAATCGGCCCTAAGTTAAACCTCAAATTAGGGTTATATAAAAAAAAATCATTGTTAATACTTTAAAATCCAACCCCAAAAATTCCATCAAGGTTAATTAATAGAGAGCATTAAAAAATTATATACATTATATGTTTTTGTGCTCTTTTATAAAACTAAACGAATTCATTTTATGGTTTTGAGGTCTTCAATAAACTAAACGACTATATATGTGTTTGAAAGTTGGTCGAAGAAATAAATAAAAAAGAACACATAATTGAAGATTTCATGGGAATTTAAGTTTTTGAAACTCTTTTAGTTTAGGCATTCTATCAAATAGGTAATATGCATCCCAACTAAAGAAACTCCTCTGTTTTCCTGCCTTCATGGTGGTCCGTAATTGTATCCATATTCTGTTTTGCCACAACTTCCATTGTATGCTGAGCTCCAATCACAATGTACCTTCCTTAACATATGATAAATCCGCTACTTTAACATGTATAAAACAAAATCAATAAAAAAATTGGAAGATCATTTTAGTAGGATTAAGAGAAGAAGTGGTGCTCACAACATTGAAAGCCTTTAAGCCTGGTTCGCCTGGTTCAACATCTTCTTTGACCAGACATCTGTAAGCCAGAAAATTAGAAACCTAGTCAAACCACATACATGTAAAAAATTTTAACGACTGATAACTATCGTGGAAATCCTAAAATCAGAAGAAACCTAAATCAGAATTTGAAGAGTGATGTACCTAATCGAAGTCGAGAAAGGGATAGGCGGCGAGTCTCAAGCAACTCGGACTCCAAACAGGCGGTATTGGAGCCAACAACTAAACCGGTGATGGCGTGGGTCCAAACTATCTGTTATTCATCGAGGGTGGGTGGGTCGTTTGGTGGGAATAACTCTTCTTCGCTTCATATTCCTCGTCTTCCTCATCCCCTTCCACCGGGATAATCGGTGCAGGTGGTGTCGGTGGCGGTGGCACCGCAACTTCAGAAGATGATTAAAAGAACTTGTGGATTGAGGCGGTGGAGACGATCGACAGGAAGAATAGAGACAAACAGAATAAGGGAGAGGTGGTGGAAGTGAGGAAGTGAGCGATTAAAAAGAATAAAGAAGTATTTGAGGCGGTGGAATTTGTTGATGGTTAACCAGGTGAAGGAACCAGTTGACACCTGTACAGAAGATGTATCACTCCTGGAAGAAGCAAACACGTGTGATTAGAAGAACTTGTGGATTGAACCAGTTGACATAAAATAACCCCTAAAAGAAAAGAAACACAGTTGCAACCTCACCCATAACCCACTCATAACCAAGTAGAGGGGTACTCGTATAAAATACAAAGATGTGTCAGCAATGAGCAGATGAAGAAATACATAAAAAATAATTAAATAGAAAGGGAACAACGGACATCTGAGAATGAAGGAAAGGAAGACAACATTAACATAATATAAGGGCAAAATGTGACAAAAAGTAGAATATGATATTGTAGCTAACAATAGAGAATTTTAATATATATATATATATATATATATATATATATATATATATATATATATATATATAATAAATGTATAAAGTAAGGCCAACCATATTGGAAGTTGTAATAATAATAATAATAATAAATAAATGTATCAAATAAGATCATTCATATCAGAAGTTATATCAGAGTTTAATAGAATAATTTTGAATACAAAAAAATATAGACTTGAATGAACATCCAACTCTTTAATAGAATTCTAATGAAAGTTTATGAATTTTTTAAAAGTTTAAGTATTCTCCTTCTTACTTGACATTTTATATGCATTTTTCTATGGTTTAATTCATTGCAGATGACCTATGAACATACAAATTATATTGTTTAACATTTAAAAAATTATAATATTAACGATTTTCATGAAAGAATTAAAACACCTTTTGCACAACATATATATTTTTTTAAATGACAAATTTACTCTTACATCCACTTATATATCATATGAGATTTAAACCCTCGATATCAAGGAAGGAAACAACTTCGAAACTTTTAATAATACATTTTTATTGCACCATCTTCAAAAATCTTACAAGTTAGCTATTGCTATTTCCATCAAACATGTTTTCATTCCATTATGTGATGACTGTATCGTTCAAAAAGTTAAATGGAATCGATCAATGTGATGTCCATTTCTATCATTCGTGGTTTGATTTTCATTTACCAACTCCTATAACCAAATTTTGATTTCCACCGCACCTTTCCGAAATTTTGTTACATGGTGGGTTCTTGTGTTTTCATCATAATATATATTAAATGTGAATTGTGTGATTAATGACTTGAATATTTTTAGCATTTACTTGTTACATTTGCTTAGTCTCAAAATCAAAGAAAACATGGAAGATGGCATCTTTTCGCTTAGTGGTCGGGTACTTGGGTCTATCCGATTTATATGATTTGAATCTTTACATTTTTTCGTCCCATGTATATTATAGTAAAGTGGTAGTCTAGAACAAAAATCAATAGGGTCCATCTTCTACTCTAATAAATGAAGATTTTTTTTGCCACATGTCATCTTTTCATTTATTTGGATGCATGTCATTTTTTTAAAAATTTTAAAATTTCTATTTTCCACTTGTCATTTTATTGTATTTTTCATTTTATTAAATTAAAATTCCACATTTAATATGTAAGGTAATATATATGTAAGGTATTTATTAGAAAAAGTTTATATATGTAATGTATTCAATACATTAAAGCCTCATTAATTTTAATAATTCAAACAAATTCTCATTTTTCTTATAAATTCAAACTTTTCAAATTGTTAAAATTTTATATTTATTTATTTTTAAATAAATTCATATAATACATGAGTCTCACACCTAGTCATATATATAAAAGATAAATATAATAAAAAGAAATTCAACCTAGTCATATATATAAAAGATAATTATAACTAGGGAAGAATCCCCGCTCCGCGGGGTTGGACACGCCAAAGAGTCCATCACATTTACTTTGTAGATACATTTGAGAGAGCATTTTCCTAAAAAATTACATCAGTCTATTCTATTTGTTACTAATTGCAATTCCAACACTTTCTATAACTTATTCTAAATGTTTTAACAAACATTCGTCTATTCACACTCACAAATTTACAAACTGGAGATGCATCTCTTGGGCCAGTGTCAGTTGAATTAATAACCTGCACTCTTCGGCTCTCATTAAGGGCTGTAGATGAATAATCTTTAATACAAAACTTCGATGAAACCAATTTGGTATTTAACCTAAAAACTTGTGTTTGGGTATACAGATTGGATGAGAGGGCAGAGATCCGTAACTGTCGTCCAGATTAAACATTTGAGAGAAGATCTACAACCAAAAAATCAAAATTAAAATAGTAAATATCAAAACATAATGTGATTTTTTAGTTGTCAAACTTAACTATTTCTTGGTCAAAATCATTGATGCCAAGCCCCAAAGCCCTTTAAAAAACGCATGGGATTGCCTATTACCCTGAAAAAAAATCTAAACAAAATTAATGACTTTTAAGAACATTGAAAAAATTAATCAAGTTAAGTGAACGTATTAGAAAATATGGAACATAATCAAAGAACATGACATAAAGCGATCAAACTTAAAACCAAAAACATTTGTAGGGAGGAAGTCTGGTCCATATTAAGCCCATATACAAAAAAATCCATTTTGATGATGATGAACTGATTTCTAAAAATCATAATTAAAACTATATGCCTCCTGGATCTTCCATTGATCAATTTGTACTTCCATTTGGGACCTGAACAAAATCATCATTAAATTTGGAAATATTTGTAAAGACTATGAAGCAATGTAATCATCACCATCTTCATCTTCTGATAAGCCTCTTACAAATGATCAAACCCAGATTCAGACCTAATTTTTTCAATATTTGAAGCATATGCAGCTGCCACCACCAGCCACCATCCACCATCTTAACCCTCTTAACGTCGTCAATACGTCTCAACTCATGAAAACAAAAGAATCTTGATATTTAAAGAGTTAGAAAAAATTGGGATAATAAATGCTTAATAGAGTACAACTATATTTATTTAGCAAATGAGAACTAACCAAGAAGCAAAATTTGATGTAATAGATGGAAATTGATGATTTTGACTACTTATTACTTGTTTCCTCTTGAGCTTTGACATCCAAATGTTGAAATCTTGTTGGTCTAGAAAAGGAGTTCAAGTTTTAGACAACGAAGTTAGAAACATCTACTATAGCATGTAGAATTTTACATACAATGGTCAATAACAATAAATAGAAGTATAAAGTTATAATAATGAAAATACAGTAAACATATTGTTAATTCTTGCGTTTGTATGCATTTCTTTACACAAAGGGCATTTATCTCATTTCTAGTTCCATCAAATGTGTATACATAAGTTTACCACATCAAAGAACAACCAATAGTCGGCCCAAATTCCAATTTAGAATGTAGATATGATCATAAAATGCTAGGAGTCGACAGAAAGCAATTGGCATGTCCCACTTTCTTCCCAACTCAAATCTCATCCAAACAGAATCCATTGTGTTCATATTCCCATCACCAAATCATCATAGTCCACTTTGATTAACAATATAATCATTCAATTCAAAATCCAATTTGGATTTTCCCCATAATTGATCATAAAAAAAACCTCAACCAACTAATCCCCTACATCTCTATCATATGCAACGGCTATGGGGAATAGTTTACCAGGTGTCGGAGGAGGGAAGAAGAAGGCCAAAGTGATGAAGATCGACGACGAAATCTTCAAATTATGAACCCCCATTAATTTTTTTTAAGTGATTTAGGATTACTTCGGTCATGTTGTATTGGAATCGAATGCTGTTAAGAGATATGGGATCAGAGCTACTCCTGTTGATCTAGAAGAAAATCTTGAACCTGGGAAGATTTATTTCTTGGTCGAGTTACCTAAACTGCCGAAGACGGCGGAGAAGACGTTGACGATTAGAAGGGTGCGGTATGAGTAAGCAATATATCGTGTAGTCCCAAAAAGAGATAAAATCACGAACATCAAATCTACAAAGTAAGAAATTGGTGAGTCGATTGAATATCAAAACCCAGAAATCGTGCTTTAGATTCTTAAAATCGAACCCAAATAGAAATAGAGAGAGTCAATCAAAACCCTAATCGTTGAAAAATCTGAAAACCTGAGATAGAGTTGTCGGCATCTAAGTTGTGGACCATTTGAATACAATACCTTTGTTACCGTCGGCGTAAGCAGCTGCGTCCTACAATCTTCATCTTCATGGGAGACCAATGACTGAGCGGATGCCCGTTGTAGCAGACCACGCCGTTGATGAATTTTTTGAGTAATGATGAGAATTTTTTGAGTAAACGTGCGAGTTGGAGGAAGTCATCGAGGTTGGAGAACGCGGCTGTCACCACCGCCGTCGAAGGGAGGCAGGCAGAAGTTGCATATAGGAGATGGAGTGAGAGGGAGGAGGAGGCGACCGTTGGAGAGAAAGAGGATTAATAAAGATCAGTTAGAAGGCAATACCATTCTAACCTAGGAAGAAATTGAAAACGGTGGAAGGAAATTATGTGATTGGGCATGGGAGGCGGTGAGGAAATGAACTGTCAATGAAACGTGGAAAAATAAGAAACCACATACATACACGTAGCAACACGTTGCAGATATCGACTTATGATATCTCAATGAAGTATTATATAAAATTAAATTAGAAACTACACAAAATATAAGAAATAAAAAAAAATTCCAATCAATCACAACCAAGTTCAAGTGGCACTTTAGAATTAGTATCTATATATGATTGAACATGCACAAATAAACAAATGACTAATTTTGCCAACCCTTAGCCACTTTACTGTAGCTAAGGGTGGAGAATTTTAATATATATAGTATAATAAAAAGAATATTAATTTTAGATTTTGGTTGTGATTTTTTGGCAATGTCAAAAAGGATTAAATGGGGCGATTATACAATTTAATAAATAATTTTTTTCTCTAAAATGATAATTTTTTTATTTATGTATATATTTTATCATTGATTTTTTTCATATCTATCTGTTTAATTTTTTTTAATATATTAGATCCTTAGAACTGGTTATTTTATATTCTTAGTTTGTATACATTTAATCATTAATATTTTTTATTGCAAAAATAAGTTATTTTGTTTTTGAACATATTGAATCGTTATGACATATTTTTTTAAGGTTTTGTTCATGATATTCTACATGGGACACTAAATAATGAGTGTATTCAGGGCTACTTGTGTTTTTGGCCATCGCAACCTCGACTGATTGGTTGTTGCGGTCATGTGGTTTGGCTTATGTCTATTACAACTTTCGTGTAAATTACTTTGTTAAAATGTAATATATTTTTACTTACGATATTTATATTAATGTGCTCTATATGAATGTATGTATGAACGTTTTCTATAAAACCATAACTAAAAATATATTACTCTTTAAACGTTTTTTACTTATGATTTAAAATAAAATGTTCATACATGCATACTAATATAAAATATGTAAGAAAAAAAAAGTTACATACAAGGAAACTAACGTTAAAAAGATCTATCATAGAAAGTGCAAATACTTTTAAGAAAAATATTCATGTTAGATTTGAAGCACTTCAACAAAATGATTCGCATAACATAGTGATAATGCAATTAAATAATAAGAACACAATTAATTTACGTGATTCACACGATTAGACTGACCAACTACATCGACAAAAGAAGAGAGAGAGAGAGAGAGAGAGAGAGAGAGAGAGAGAGAGAGAGAGAGAGATTTTGTGGAATACATTACATCTATAAGTTACATGAATTCAATGTATATGTATACTAGTTGGTTGACTTAAAATTCATCAATAAGACCATACGGCCCATGCCCAAAAACAATGATAAACATGACGTATTTTGAGGTCAAATTTCATAAAGGAACTCACTAATGCTTTGTTTGCCAAATGACTATAAGTTCAAATGGTGAATCAGGCTCCACAAGTTGTGCAATTGCACACCATTCTTCACATACAGGTCCACCCTCACTATATTGGATTTGAAGTTCTGTTTATTTCATCTGCAATTGGATTTCAGATTTATGGGTAGTAGAAAAAACGGGTAACCAAATGTTTCAACCAAGAAGTTAGGATGATTTTAGTTGTTATTATTATTTTTTTACTGAGTTTGTCTATTGCAAGTGACCAAAAAAATCTAATTTAGGCCCATGTTTTTTATGCCATAACAACGTAGAATTATGAGATGGGAACATAAAAGGAAATCGCAAATGTCCAAATAAATATTTGAAGATGATGAAAACGATGTCAAAAAAGAACATACCTTGTGATTGTAACTAGTTTGAAGCTTTGAAATGTATGAAGTAGTAACATAGTCAACGAAAAGAAGAAAGAAAATATTTTTCGTCGACAGCAGGGTTCGAACCTGCGCGGGCGAAGCCCAACAGATTTCAAGTCTGTCTCCTTAACCACTCGGACATATCGACTTTCTGTCAAAAACTTACACAAATATATAGATAACCAAAAATAACATATCTACTTCTGCACGGGTTAGGGTTTTTCGAGGGTTAGGGTTTAACATTGGATCAAATCACATTACAAGTTTACAACAGAGAAGAACAGATTCAGCAGAGGGAGGGATTGAAGATGTTGTATATAATCGGATTGGGACTGGGCGACGAAAAAGACATCACATTAAGAGGATTAGAAGCTGTGAAGAAATGCCAAAAGCTCTATATTGAATCCTACACATCTCTCCTTTCCTTTGGTATCTCCAAAGATGGCATCTCCACCCTGGTAATTTCACTTCTCTATTCGTATCTTTCCTTTGTTTGTAACTTAGATACTTCTATTGCACTACTTGCTACCGAATAATCGGTTCTTATTAGTATTTGAAGTTAATTAAGTAAACGTTTTACCTTCGAAAGTTGTAAGAAAACTCCTTTGGGACGAATTGAGTAAATCAGATTTAGGGTTTCCTGTATTTGAGTTTTGAAAGCCGTCATTGCGATTTTAAGAATCCGAATGATAATGTTTTGATTGAAGTTATGATACGTAAGTATCTTTAGAGAGATTCGGATTTGGTGTGGGAGATTCTTCGCAGTTTCAGAAAGAAAACGAGTACAAGAACATGTTCTTACACATTTTACCCAAATAGAGCTTAAAGATCATGGTTTAGGTTGATTGTTACTAAAGCATCGATTCTTCAAGCTCTTGATGACTTGGATTTGTGACACTTGAATCACTAAGCTTTTCTTTCATTCATTGTATAAAATGTTTACAACTCATATATCCTTTGTAATTTTCTTGCTTTTGAGTTTGATCTTTTTCGTTTTTAACAGGAAAAGCTGTATGGAAAGCCACTTACAGTTGCAGATAGGGAAATGGTAGAGGAAAAGGCTGATGATATGTTGTTAGAGGCTCGTGAATTTGATGTTGCTTTCCTTGTTGTTGGAGACCCTTTTGGGTAATGATACTTTTCCTCACTTATATTTGAATCATAAATAATTTTTTCAAAAAAAAAATACCCTTTCAATTGTTGACTATGTACATTTTATAAAAAATAGGGCGACAACACATAGTGATCTGGTTGTAAGGGCAAAGAAATTGGAGGTGGAAGTGAAGGTGATATATAATGCATCAGTAATGAATGCAGTTGGAGTATGTGGCTTACAACTTTATCGTTATGGAGAAACTGTTTCTTTACCTTTCTTTACAGAAACATGGAGACCTGATAGTTTTTATGAGAAAATTCAAAGAAATCGAGGACTAGGGTTACATACTCTGTGTTTATTAGGTAACAATATTGTGAGAAATTGTTGCATAAATGAGTATTTAACTATTTATCCTTTAGTTACTAATAAAGTAATAATTCTATTGGCATTGCAGATATACGAGTTAAAGAACCTTCATTGGAATCACTATGCAGGTTAGAAAGTGTAGTTTTCATTTTATTAATATTTTTGAGTAAATTACATGAATGGTCCCTATGGTTTGGGGTAATTTGCACGTTTGGTCCCTAACTTGTTTTTTATTTTTAACTTGGAAGGTCCCTATAGTTTGTTTTTATTGCACGCTTGGTCTCTACCTTACCTTAAAAGACTATTTTGCCCTTGATTTTTTAAATTATTTAAATAAGGTGGGTAAGGTAAGGTAAGGTGAGGTAAGGTGGAAGTGGGGTTGGGGTGTGTTTATTTAAATAAATTAAAAAATCAAGGGCAAAATAGTCTTTTTAGGTAAGACAGGGACAAGCGTGCAACAAAAACAAACAGTAGAGACCTTTTGAGTTAAAAAAATAAGTTAGGGACCAAACGTGCAAATTACTCCAAACCATAGGGACCATTCGTGTAATTTACTCAAATATTTTTCAACATTTTTTATTATGTTATAGAGGAAAAAAGCAATACGAGCCTCCTAGTTTCATGACAATTGGAGTTGCTATTGATCAACTCTTAGAGGTTGAACAACTACGTGGAGAATTAGGTAATTTCCTTGATTTGTTTATTTTTTATTTTTTGTTTAATATAGAAAAAAAGATTTTTATTTTTTGTTGTTGATTTGGGAAGCTTACAATGAAGACACATTGTGTGTGGGATTTGCAAGGCTAGGAAGTGAGAACCAAAAGGTGGTGGCCGGGTCAATGAAGCAATTAAGGACAGTTGACTTTGGTCAACCTCTTCATTGCCTCACAATAGTAGGTAAAACTCATCCTGTGGAAGAAGAAATGCTTGATTTCTATAGAAGTTGAAACCATGTATGTACAACTACAACAAACAACAAACTTCATTTTTGCAGAAAATGTACCAAATATTATTACTTTTTTATTTTGGTTTCTTGAAATTTTAGTTTAAACATGTTTGATATCTTGTGGGGAAATAGAATATTACTAAGTTTTTGAAGATGTACCAAATGTTATTACCTTTTGTGTCTCATGAAATATCATTTTACACATGTTTGATCTTATGATTTAAAATAGAATAATAATATAAGTATTTGTAGAATATGTACCAAATGTTATAAACATGTTTGATATCATGCAACATAATGTAAGTGTTTGATATTACCAATCATAACAACTGAATGTGTATAAAAAGAAGGGTTAAATGTGTATAGACTGAAAATTATATTAACTTATTAAGTTATTTGTTCTACTTAATGTGTGAAAAAATGACAAGTTAAATAGTTAAATATAGACAAAAAATAATTCATGATCTTATTCGTTAGAGCTTAAAACAAAATTAAGAGAAAGACATGTATAGGGATATGTTTTGAAATTTATATAAGAGTAAATTACACGAATGATCCCTATGGTTGGGGGCGATTTGCACTTTTGGTGAATAACTTATTTTTATAACTCGAAAGATACAGATTATTTTTGTTGCGTATTTGGTCTTTGTTTTACCTAAAAAGATTATTTTGCCATTGATTTTTTAATTTATATAAATAAGATGGGTAAGATAAAGTAATAAAAGATGAGATGAAAGTGGAGTTGAGGGTATGTTTGTTTAAATAAATTAAAAAAATCAAGGGTAAAATAATCTTTTTAGGTAAGACAAAGACCAAACGCGCAACAAAAATAAACAGTAGGGGACCTTCCGAGTTAAAAAAATAAGTTAGGACCAAACGTTCAAATTACCCCAAATCATAGGGACCATTCGTGTAATTTAGTCTTTATATAATTTGAGAAGGCCTAATAAGTACAAATAATAGATAGATTCAATATATGGCACACGTTTCAATCGGACGTTGGGACACTAATCGAGAACAAATGAAGTGTCAATAGTATATGTCAATTATTATCCATTCGTTTGTGTTAATATATAGCCATATAGGTCACACGTACGTTACAACAAATTAGTACACCCTATTCAATGTTTCTTCATCATGTCTCATCAATCTCTAATTCCACAAACGCCATTAGAATCCAACGAACATGAAGATCACTACAACAAGATCTGCAAGGATTACGACCACTTAATGGAAACAATACCCAAAAGTAATGGATGGAGGGTGGAACACCTCTACAACTACAATGGTTTCTGGATAAACCCTATATACATCAAAGCCAATTTGCTTCTTCATGCTTACTTTAAACCACAACCCACTGATATCTTTTTAGCTTCCTTCATGAAGTCAGGAACCACGTGGCTCAAAGCACTCATCTTCTCCACCCTTACTCGCCACTTCTACAGCTTCTCCGACCACTATTTACACCACCATGGCCCACAAAGCACTTTTCCTTTTCTCGATAGTGAATGCGAAAGCTACCCCATAACCGACTTCACTCATATGTGTTCTCCACGACTCTTCGCAACCCACTTCCCTTGGATCCTCCTACCGGAATCCATGGCTTCATGCAAGTTCGTTTATCTCTGTAGAGAGCCGAAAGATGTTTTGGTTTCGAAATGGGTTTTCATGAGCAAACTTAGAGAGAAAGATTTGCCTCCATTTTCTTTGGATGAAGCGTTTGATCTTTTCTGTAAAGGGGTTTCAGACTACGGACCGTTTTGGGAGCATGTTCTGTCGTACTGGAGAGCGAGTTTGGAGTCATCGGAGAAGATTCTGTTCTTGAAGTATGAGGAAGTGAAGCGGCAGCCGGAGGTGGTGGTGAGGAGGTTGGCGACGTTCATGGGTGTGCCATTCACGGCGGAGGAAGTTGAGAAAGGGGTGGTGGAGAGCATTGTGAAGTTGTGTAGCTTCGAAAATTTGAGTAATTTGGAGGTGAATAAGAAGGGTGTTGAAAAGTTCGGTAAGGTGGAGGTGGAGAATTGTGAATTTTTCAGGAAAGGTGTGATTGGAGATTGGAGAAACTACCTTTCCGATGAGATGAAACAACGCATTGATGGAATTATCCATGAGAAGTTGAAAGGTTCTGGCTTGATCTTTGGTGCCTAATCTGGATTCTGTAGTGGTTTGTGAAAGCTCTTTCGGTGTATCATGTTGTGTAAATAGGCTAGTTCTAAAATATCAAATATGTCGTATAAAGGAGGGTTTTTTTTTTTTTTTTTTTTTTTTTTTTTTTTTTTTTTTTAAATAATATTGTAGAAATAGCTTAGTTTTAAAATATATTGTAGAAATAGGTGGGAGTTGTGAAAGGCCCATTATTTTCTATATTTTATTGTGCCAATAAAGATATATTTAAACCCCTACATGTTACATATATCACCTTTTAATTAAAAAAAATTTGTTTAAACCTTTTGTGATTAATTCGTTTTTTTTTTACATTTATTATATATCACACATAGATAATTTATTACAAAATATATGATTATAATTTATGTATTATTCTTAAGTAGTTGTACCATTGAATAGATAATATAAATATCTTCAAATAAATACCGATATTGAATATATTATGTCCCGAAATTACAATATAAATTAAAAATGATATTACAATACACATTATATACTAAATTAAAATATACATTAAACACTAAATCGTAATATTCATAATGATTTTTATTATTGTTTATTCGTAAATATGAGAAAATCATTAGTCTACAATGCCTAAAATGTATAGTATGAATTTTCATTATTTGTGAAAACTCAGTATAGTTATGTCATTATTCTTTACTCAACTGTAAAAGAAAAAGTGTTATGTAGACCACAATGCCACTGTTGATGAAAACTCAATATAAGTAATTGAGTGAATTGTTAAATCAATTTATTTTTTGGTATTATAAATGTCACTATTGAACCAAGGTCGAAGGTGGTCACTTAATTGCCACATAGTGGTACTCTTTGTCAGCAACATCCTACTTTGGCCACCACGTCGTGGTGCCCATACATTGTACCGCATGGAAAAAGTACATTGCGCTTCTTCTATATGACGAACTCCCGCCATGTCGTGGCAATCTATCCACCGCACTACAGTAGCTGCTTCATAGTAGCTCATTGGTTGATTCCATTTCAATTTTGGGACATTTTTTCCCCAACTTCTAGCGGGCATAACTTCTTCGTTTCTTACCCGTTTTCGATGTTCTTTATATACAAGCTGTAACATCCATGAAATCATGAAAAATTTAAACTTTTAAAACTAACCCAAAATCATAAATTGTTACGACACAAATTTCAAAACATGCTCCATATCAGAGTTTCCCAAAATCATAAGTCAAACACGAGGATGTGTACGGTTACACCTTCACCTTCCCGTGATCGTCTGAAGTACCTGAAACATAACCTAAAACTGTAAGCCCAAAACTTAGTGAGTTTCCCTAAAGTACCAACACATAATACACATAACAACAAACAATATGCATATAAAGCCTTCAGCCTGACTAGACCGCCTCGCAGGCCTACAGACTACCTGGACTGCTCACAGAACCTTCAGTATAACTGGACCGCCTCACTGGGTCATCAACCTATCTGGACCGTTCCCCGGGCCTTCGCCCTAACTGGTCCACCTCACGGGCCTTCAGTTTATCCGGACCGCTCTGGGTCTCTTGGCCTTCGGTCTCCATTGGTCCGCCTCAACCCAACCATACATAACATGTTGACATATACATAACAGATAAAAATATATAACAGTCAACAAACAAACAGAAAGATCTTACATATCATTAAGCATAAAATCATCCTATATACCAGGATACCGATCTAACATATCACTACAACGCAATAACATACTATCACATAACATAATTTCTAATCTAATTGGTCTGCCTTGGTGTCTTCGACCCACAAGTATACTGAGGAAAACTCACCTTGCAAATCCGTACAGGTGGCAGAAAAGAATATCGCTCCACTAGTCAATTTCACAGATCACCTGAACACAGGGAGAGACCCAAACCTAAGGATTCATAACAAAATACCCAAAATGCCCCCAAGGTCAAAAGTCAACGATCAACAAAAAGTCAACCCAACTAAGTACGCCTAACATACTCAGCTCCTACGCCCTGGGCACTAAACCCTTTGACCAACACATAGTGACCTGGTTGTAAGGGAAAAGAAATTGGAGGTGGAAGTGAAGTTGATATATAATGCATCAATAATGAATGCAGTTGGAGTATGTGGCTTGCAACTTTATCATGATGGAGAAATTGTTTCATTACCTTTCTCTATAGAGACATGGAGACCTGATAGTTTTTATGGGAAAATTCAATGAAATCTAGGACTAGGGCTACATACTCTATGCTTGTTAGGTAACAATATTGTGAGAAATTGTTGCATAAATGAGTATTTATCCCTTAGGTACTAATAATTCCATTGGCATTGCATATATACAAGTTAAAGAACCTTCATTGGAATCACTATGCATGTTAGAATGTGTAGTTTTGATTTTATTTTTTGATACACTGAAAAATATTTTCAACTTTTTAAATATTTTTTATTATGTTTCAGAGGAAAAAAACAATACGAGCCTCCTAGTTTCATGACAATTGGAGTTGCTATTGATCAACTCTTAGAGGTTGAACAACTACCTGGAGAATCAGGTAATTTCCTTGATTTGTTTATTTTGTATTTTTGCTTAATATATAAAAATGAGTATTTTTTAAATTTTTTTATTTTTTTATCTGGGCAGCTTACAATGAAGAAACACTGTGTGTAGGATTTGCAAGGTTAGGAAATGAGAAACAAAAGGTGGTGGCTGGGTCAATGAAGCAATTAAGAGTAGTTGGCTTTGGTCAACCTCTTCATTGCCTCACAATAGTAGGTAAAAATCATCCTGTGAAAGAAGAAATGCCCGATTTCTATAGAAGTTGAAACCATTTATGTACAATGTAACTTCATTTTTGTTGATAATGTATCGAATTTTATTACTTTTTTTTCTTGGAATGTCAGTTTAAACATGTTTGATATCATGCGGTAAAATAGAATATTACTAAGTTTTTGAAGAAAATGTACCAAATATTATTAGCTTTTGTGTTTCATGAAATATCGTTTTACACATGTTTGATATTATGATTTAAAGGAGAATAATAATATAAGTATGTGTAGAAAATGTACCAAATATTATAAACATGTTTCATATCATGCAACTTAATATAAGTGTTTGATATTACCGATCATAAGTATTGAATGTGCACAAAAATAAAGACTACGCAAAAATAAAGATTAAATGTGTACAAATTGAAAATTATATTAAAGTCATTTATTCTGTTTAACCTGAAGTAGCCAATGTTTACTGTATATGTACAAAAAGTAAGTTAAATAATCAAATATAGACATAAAATAATTTTATTCGTTTGCTTAAAACAAAATTAAGAAAAAGACATGTATAGGGATATGTTTTGAAATTTATATAATTCGAGAGGCCGAATAAGTACAAACAGTAGACATATAATCAATATATGGTATAGGCTTCACTCAGATATTGGGACACTAAGAACATCTCTAATGGTTAAGTCATATTAAGACTTAAAATTATTGTCACATCATCATTGTAATAAATTAACCTATAATTAAATAACCAC